AGTTCCGTGGAGTCTGACGGAAGGTCTGCCGGGCGAATTGCCCTCAAGATCGCTTCTTCTTTCATCCCCTCCGACCAGAAGGGATTCCAGTTTGCTGGGCTCAGCACGGTCGGTGGCCCAGCTGGGCGCGCTAGCACCCCTGCCGAAGCTGGCACGTCCTCAATGGCGCGCAGCCCATTGCTTCCAGGCGTCTTCTCTAAAGCGCCCTCCTCGCTCATCACGAAAACCAAAAACCCGTGGCGCGGTTGCGCTCACTTTGGGCTCATAACCCACACAAAGCTAAGCTTCACCTTTTGATCCTTGAACAAAGGGCTTCAAGTTTGGTCTCTGTACGACATGATTTCAAATCGAAACTCGCACATCCGCTCTTATAATGGCAAACTTTTGCAATCTAGGGTTGCATAGAATTGTATTGCCAGCGGTCTACCAAGCCACCAAGCTGGAGCAAGCCAGCACTCAAAAGCAACTGTTGCTTGGTTTACTTTAAGAAATGAGTGGCGCCTTGAAGCGGGCTGTTTGGCTCCAGCTGTCCCAGGAAAATGGGTTTGAACTGGTTCATTCCAGCCTGTAGCTAACGAGCAAAGGCACTCGTTATTGCAAGAAGCAAGTACAGTAACTCATCTAAACGCACTGGTGCTCAGCTTAGTACTTGAGACGAGGAGCGTTTGCAAAAAGCAGGGTGGAATCACTTAGTGGAACCACTGGGCTCGACTGAACGAACTCGTGGCCCTTCTTCTCCACGAAAAATGAAATGTATGCATCCCGGACCTTCTCTCCTGGACACATCGGCTAATCATCTGATGGAACATAGACCTCTCTAACGGATGTCCGTGCGGTTCCGTTACTTGTATATACATAATATATGTTTATCAATATCCAACATGAGCTGAAGTTGAGATAGTTGAGTTGAGAGGGGTGCTGTGCAAAAAGCATCACAAAAAAAACTGTGGGAAATTGTGGTATAGTATATACAATAATACCGCCGGGAGTTTTGACGAACACCCAAGAATACAAGCAATTAGATCATAATAATCTATGATCTATGATTGTATTGTGTTACCGATTAGATTTTATGATTGACATGCAACTGATCTGATGTCTTTGTCTTTGTGCGCTTGGCACGGACGTGAAGTACAATTCAGTGTCCTTCGATTCATGTGATAAGGACCAAAATGACTGATAACATCTGATGAGATTGGCCGCTCGTTCTGTGTGGCGCGAATGGGAAAACAATAAACTTCAAACTTCAGCAGCCTTAACATTGCCAGTGAGATCGAGTGAGCATCCTCAACCTGCTCGACCAAAACCTGTACTGAGACTGAGTCCTGTCCATTTCATTGATTCACTTGCTGAAGCTCGCACGGCAATAGAGCCACATTGCCTTAACAATCCACATAATCCCACATAGCATTTCACCGCTGATCTTGCTTGGAGGAGGTCGCTTAATCACAATCTTTGCTGTAGGTCTTGCTTTCTCTGCGGCGATGCGACCAAATCACCGCTAGAAATTTCATTCAAGTTGAAGTTCTATACACTGAAGGACTTGAGAGAGGAAGGGGGTGAACGAAAGGTACCGCAGCACTGCGTGTGGAGAGAAACCGCCTACATAGCTTAAAACCATTGATATTATGTGAAAGGTTGTATAGTAGAAACGAACTTGTGTGTTTGGATCAGCCAAGTTTGTGGCCACTTTGAAGCTTACATAGCTTAAAACCATCGATATTTACAGGGTTTTGTGCCGGGAAGGCGCACAAAACCGTGTAAATACCGTGGTTTTTACAATGTTGAAGCCTCCGAAAGCCGAAAAAACCCTTTCCGACACAGTCTTTCCTGGCTTTTGGTCATTTTTCGGTAATTTTTCCAACCGAGACACGAAAAAAACCATCAGTTTTTACGAGTGTTTGTGCCGAACAGCCACATAAAACCCTGTAAATTGCATGGTTTGAGGCCATGCTTGAAGACAGGAGGAGCTGAAAACACTAGTATTTACGGTGCTTTGTAGCCGTCGATCCAGAGGCGCACCCACGGTTGTGTGCTGGGAAAGCGCAGAAAACCATGTAAATACCGTCGTTTTCTGCCGGGAAGGTGCACAAAACCGTGTAAATACCATAGTTTTGTACAATTTTGAAGCCTCCAAAAGCCTCAAAAACCCTTTCAGACAAAATCTTTCCTGGTTTTTGGTCATTTTTCGGTCATTTTTCAAACCGAGACGCATCAAAAACCATCGGTTTTTACGGTGTTTTTTGCCGGACAGCCACAAAAAAACCTGTAAATTGCATGGTTTTCGGCCACTGTTGAGGACTGGAAGAGCTGAAAACACTGGTATTTACGGTGTTTTCGAGTCGTTGACCCCGAGGCGCGCGAGGGTGGAGTTGAAAGGGGGGGGGCCCTTTGCCGGGCCAGCAAGCGAATATGTCGGGGGCCATTTCTCAGTGAGAAAGGCTCCACTCTGGGTATAATACATTTTGCTAAAGCAAAAGGAAAACTCAGGTAGCGTAACCGCTACCTTTCGTGATCTGTGCAGCCAAGACCGGACCACACGAAAGCCAAGGTGCCTCTTGTAACGGCGCCTTGCACACACGCCGCGGCATGCAGCTCCACCGAGCACTGCACCCCAAACTGGCAGGTGTAGTTCATGCTGCTCTCGGTCAGGTGCAGCGAGACCACGGGCCGTGCTTGCTGAAGCCGCTGTACCTACTGCACCCCTGGCAGCACACGGTGCTGTGAGGGCTCGTGGTGAGGCCAAGGCCCGCAGGCTGGGCGCCAATGCCATGGGAGTCAGTCAAGTTGCTTAACGAGTGCCAAAAAGAAAACAAAACGAAACAAGAGCATTTCAACATAGTTCAACTTTGTCTCTCGATTGATTTGCGCTCTTTATGTCTCTCTTCACTTCAGCCTGTGGTCGACTCCTCTTTCATCCTCTTTCTCTCGTGTCCTCAACATGCGCTCCCCATGTCCTCGGCCCCAACCTAGACATGACTGGCTAGGCGGTTTGTGTTGATACGAATGAAGGCGGACTCGGTCACAGCTGTCTAAAGCACGTTGCCGCCAGCCAATCTGCTCTTTGCAATGCATCCTGTGAAGCCACAAAAGCCGTCCATAAATGCCAATCTACTCACACATGCTGGAAGCTTTGTCCACTATGGCGAGGCGAAGCAGCTGGTAGTGGCAAAAGTGATTGATTCCTGGGTTCGCGGCCCCGTCTGGCAAAGGCACCGCGACATGCGCAGCACGCGCTGGCCTAGCATCACCAAGGAGTGTCGCGGCTCTTCGGAGAAAATCTAGTCACCTAGTTGCAAAAAAGAGTAGTAACTGTAGCTGACAATGCTAGAGGGCACCCTATGCATCCAGTACCGATGGTACAGTGTGAGGCCAAAACCAAGGTGCTATATCTGCTAGGGGCCTCAGTGCGCTCAGTGTCGCTGGTCCAACTGCACTTACAAATCGCGAGGAATCTGTGGGCGTGTCAATTGTCATTGAATCAGTCAGCAAGCTAATTTGCTACATGGTTGCTACTCAATGCACTCTCAATCCCAGCGCAGCTCAATTCAGCTCACATGACTTCGAAGGTGTCATGAACGGTCACGAATTAGTTCCATTTGTGACCCGATGAGTGGAATAAGGAATGATCCTTTCAATCTTGTCAAAAAGTCCAACTCACTAGCCGATTGCAATTGCTGTTTTGCTCCACCAGCACCTCAGGTGCAATCAGGATGAGGGCACGCCCCCTGGTGCCTATGGGGCGCTCGGACTTCCGATCCCCATTTCAGTGCTAGCTAATTACTTGCAGAGTGGGAGGCCGGATGGTGACACTTGCTGTGCGCATGCACAGCTTTTAGAGTACACAATTGAGCATTAGCACATGTAGGACGAGCGGACTCTGAAGGATCAGCATCGAATCTATGTCAAGTGTTCAAGCATTTTTCAAAAACATATTGGGAGTCCTACATGTGGTCTCGGCTAAGGCTAAGGATATGGGCCTTGGTAGCCCGCCTCTCCAAGCATGTCTCAACATCTAGTGGTGTGAACCACAACTAAGCATTCTGATGGCATGTGACCCGTGCTGCAAAGCCAATGTTGCCACACCTCTGAATCAATGAGCACCAAAGAACTCCCACACATATCGCACTGAGTTGCACAGCACATAGGCCAATTGGTGCTCACAGAGATGGCCAAATGCCCTCGTCATGCTTCAGACCAAAGTTGAATCGCAAGCCTCCCCGTTCAAGCGGTTGAAACCAGCCTCGGCTTCAGAAGAGGATGGAACATCAGCCGTGCCTCCGTGTCTCATTTGTCTCATTCGTTACATGATGCAAGGTGCCATAGCTGTTTGTCCTACCCCAATGTCACAGGCTTGAGGTCTGACATCGGGCAACAGTCCCTTGTCTGTACTGCAAAGGCAACTGACCCCTTGACCGAGGCTGTCGCCCAGCTCCTGCGCCGGAACTTGTCAATAAAAACTGCCATGCCCATGGGTGTTTTACCCTTATAATGTTTATCAAAGCTGTTGTTTCTTTGGAACCATGCTCCCTGACAGCGGGAATGGCACTCAGCCTGCTTGAAGCTGCAATCAAATACTACATTGCATCACATTCGAATGCGTGAATGGAGTATGGACAACATGTGAACGGTCTTAATTATACGGCTTTGCATGCTGATCCTACCCACAGCTGCCCCAGGCCTACATATCCTATGTAATTATAATCCTACAAGTACGTAGTCCCGGGTCCCGCACGATAGATTCTCAAGTTGCGTTCTTTCCACTTTAGCGTTTCTGTTTCTGGGCTCCTGCTGCGTAGTTGCTGGCTTACGGAAGCGTTCCCTTGGAACTTTTCGCAAACCTCAATTGTCAAAGCTGCCGCCACATATTCTTTTTCCACGCTATATACGCGTGCAAAACTCTTGGTGATGGTCTGCAACACAATATGTAGTACGATGGAACTGGAGTCACAGGCCCTGCAAAGCTCCTGATCTCGACATGCCTTCCGTGGCCTCCATGACTGTGGGTTGAGCAACAGTTGAAACTGTGTGAAACTGTTGAAATCGACAGCTGGTGGACAAAGTGGAGCATTGGCCTTCACATCTATAACCTGTTGTCCAGCAGCGCGTAGTGAAGGTACCTTACAAAGGGTACATGAGGGCTGGGCCAAGCTCATTCCCTTTCAGCTCCAAGCAATAAGCACCATTAAGCACCATAGAAAATGTCAGCGACATCAGTTTGGGTCAATTGATGTCGAATGGTCTTGACTTTGGGACATCGCGTGATCAAACACCAAAGCACTATCTCGACTCCAAGGCGGTGGCTGAAGCCGAGTGCGAAGGACGCGCAGGGCGCTCACGCAAAAAAACCCAGGAGTCTTCCTTGCAGATCACCCAGGTTCTTTCAGTGCGAAAACCACAAGGAACAAGACCAGTGCTGGACGACATGCAAGACAGGATGCATAATGTGCATGTTCCCAATATACACATCATTGAGCCCCACACCCATTGCACGGCGGCTTTGCGCTCAGTTTGGATTGCCTGCTGCCACAGGATGTTGGCGGCATGCCCTGAAGTCAAGGCGCTGCGCAAAGTCCCAGGCAAATTGACGACACTACGCCAGTACGCGAGCTGACTCGATTTATAAACCCTCACCACGCTATGAGCCACCTCACATCTTCTTGCATGAAGAAAGTGTCATGGAGCGCAGTCTGCTCCATCTCATCGTTCTGTGTATCAGAAACATTCATACTTACATTTCTGTCCAAGGTTGACTCTCGTAGCTACGGTAGTCTGCAC